GTGGCAGGCAGCGCTGGACTGCCAATTTCAGCCAATCCCCACAGGCCACACCAAGGGACCCCACCAGTGCACAAATCCATGCACTGGCCTCTAGTATGGAATGAAGATACTGAATTAGCAGTTCTGGAAGACTCACCACCAACAAAATCAACAGCAGCATTTTACCAGCATAACAAAGATATGACAGTTCCATTCCAGTTAAAGGATAATTGTGTATTCTCTCCCACCTCCCATTAGTGAAAAATGATGCGCTTGACAATAAAGCAAAAATGAGGCACTGAGGCATAATGCAAAAAATAATGAATAAAGAAGACCAGGAAGAAATTGATCTACAAACTCAATCCAGATTGCTAGGAACACTTGTTTGCTCAGGGCATAATATCATTATATGTTCAATGCAAAAATCCCTCTATTGATCAGGCTAGGACCTCAGAAAATGGCCCTTTGTGTTCTTTCGTCTATTGAAACTCTCAGGTATTTTGAACGAATTATGTCAGAATAACATAAAGATAGAGTGGAGGTAATGATGTTCATAGGGAAAGGGTGGGGGCTGTATGGAAGTGGGTAAGGGGGGTGGATGAGGGACATCTATAACAGTGTCAACCATAATAAAAACATTCAGCACAGAGTTAAATGTAAATTCTTTGTTAAAGTGGATGTCTAAGTGGAAGACTTCAGCTATGGAATAGGGAGTATACTGCCTTTTCATTTTTCTAATGTGCATGAGGTGGAGGTTGCGTGGCCATAAGACAGACTATTTTAAGTATGAGCCAGTAGGGCCATCTGTATTTCTTTTCCTCATCCTCATCCTCATTCTGTTTTCTGCCTATCAAAATTGTGGCTGAGAAGTGTAAGATCCCCTTAAAACACTGTAGCCAAGCCTTATCCCCTACTCCATCCCCATATTCAGGGCAGCAATCTTGAATATGTAAAGAGAAAAATGCCTGGGAGTTAGTGTTTCAGAATCTCTGGAAGAGCCATCTGGTTTAAAAAGACACATGCAAAATTATAATATACTGTAATACACAGAAAAACAAGCTTTTTATACTACAAATTTCAGAAAAAACTGTACTAAATTATTTTCTCTGTTAATCTTCAAACTTTAGTGTACAAATGTGTGTACAAAAGAGCAGCATTAACCTCCCCTCCAAGAGGAGACAGTAGAATTTCTGAAAGACATGTTCACTTTTAATATTAACGAGAGGAGCTTGACCTTTTACAAAGATAAATATTTTAAAGACAATTCTATATGGGATGCAAGTAGACCAAATTCCTCCCAAATGGGCAAAATAAAGAAACTATACTTTATTATAAAGAGAATACGCAATTATCCTTTAACTGTGCTAATTGAACATGCATATCTGAATTGAGATTCAACTTCAGAACTTCAAACATGTATTATAAATGTTACTCTGTCCATATTGTACAGAGTGAACCTCAAAGATATTTAATGTCATCTGTGTTTTTAAATGAGGAAAAAGGTAAAGAACACAAGGTGTTTATTTGCTTGTCTCTGTGTGTTTGGAAGATTGGTCTGCTACATGGAGCGTGCTCCCCAAAGAGAAATATGTTCATGAAATTTTGCTATGAAGTTTGTAGTATTTAATAAAAAAAAAAAAGTGTTCTCATTTCTCATACTGCAGCCCATGACCTTCCCCAGAAATGTTCCAATATGAACAAACTGCCTTGGTAACAGAACCCAAGTCTCCTAAGACTATAGCAGGACTTAGTGAGAAAGAAAACAGTTGCCTCCTTCTGAATCTAATCAAAACCTGAATGTACTGCATAAAAATAAAACAAGGTCGTCATTATTTCTTCTCATTGTGATTTGGCTTGGCTTCAAATTACATACCCTGTATATCTGAAATAACTGCACCGCCTCCATTAACTGAGCTTGACATCATTTTAATAAATGCATCTTTTCAGAATGAAAGGCAGAAATGTCAAATTCCTACCATTATAAATTCTTTCAACTCTCTGATCTGCACTAAATAAAAGCTTGTATTTGAGAAATAATATATAATTTAAAGAAATATAGCTAGCATCACTTTTATTTTAAAATGTAACTGGTAAAAGGCGAAAGATTTATGTGATCTGAAGAGAAACCAGAGCATAATAATTTAATTAAAATATAAATAAAATTTAACTGGTAAAAGATTCAACCAAATGAACCTCTTCATATAGATGATATTTTCCATGAAACTTTTAATGCTTAAGCCTTGAGGCTCTTCACCTATGCTTTGTTGGACAGAGGATATACATTAGTTTTATTTGTCACTTTCTTAAAAAGTGATTTGTGTTTAAAATAGCAAGTAAATAAATGAACAGAAAACTACCTTTAAAGAAAGGTTAAATTCCAGTTAATTTTCATCTCTTAAGTAATAGCAGTTTGTGATTTTAATGTGTATGTATGTGTTTCTAAAAACATATAAATTCACACCAAAATACCATGTATATTTTTTATACTAGCAATAGAAGAAAGAATAGTTTAGTGAAAAAAAGATAAATCCTTTAAATAAGTAGGGTAGTTATTACAATAGAATGTGGAAAGCAAAGGAAAGTTTGGGAGCTCACTTTGTTTTATTCTTGTGATAAAACCATAATGAAAGGTAATAAATGGAATTTTAAAAACCACCTGACTTTTCCAAGACAAGGAAGATTACAATTTTTTTTATTAAACCACATAAGTGGCTAAGAATTTGGCAACTTATTTCATATGTAGCAAATGACTTGGGCTACAAGGATTGCAAATGAATACTTCAGGACTAAAGAGGAAACTTCATTAATAGTAATATCTCTGTCCAAATAATAAATGAATGTTTCATTTCTGTCTAGCTAACATTAGTGACAAACACTATCTTTTTCCAAAATAACATAAATTTGCACAAAACACTTCATAGTCTTTTTTTTTAAAATTTAGAGTAATTGCTACATCTTCTATTGTATTTTCCATAATATAATGTCTTTAAGAAACACAGAAATATTTTATTAAATTAAAAAGTATATTATCTATTTAGACCAGCAAGCAATCTCTTTTATTCATATAATAAGGATGTCCTCCAAAGACCCTGTAAACTAAATTCTAAAAATGATTTTATTAGACCTCAAGATAATTTGCATCATTTAAATTCAAATGAAATGTATATTTGCAATACATTATTTGAGTAGTTATTTGCAATGCAATATTTAAATAACTGAAAGTAAATACTTCTTATGTTAATACAATGATTATCTCTATTAATTGATAAAATTTTGATTAAATGCCAATCTAAGGTATTTTTATACAGGTTTCAAACCAAGGCAAAAATAACTAAATGTTGTTTTAAAAACAACTAAAATGTCAATACACTCCAGATAATATGTTGTCAACCAGTAAAAGTTAATGTGTAATAATATCTTGTGAATATATTCACTTTCTTTTAACAAACCCACAGTCATGGAGCATAAATATTACCTGATATTTTTAAAATGTACTATAATCAAGTTCTACAGGGCTTGTCCCAAAAAGGTTAGGTTTCCTTAAATTCTAATTAAGAATTTAAAGATTAGATTTCCTAAAATTCTAATATCTATGGCAACATAGAAAGTTACCTTGCCTTGCTTTGTTGCAGAATTACCTCTCTGTTATTCTTTCTAAAATTTTCTAGGCAGCGGTTCATGGTTTTAATTTTTTAGATATATCGATTGCTCAATCAGCGTGTGTGTATATTGAAAAGAATAGATGCTATTGTATTTTTACTATTTGTAAATGCAATAGTTTTTTCATCAAAAGGCAATTCTGATGCTCACCAAAAACTTATAAAAATAAGAAAATTATGTATATGTATATATTTACTATAAAATCTGGTAACGTCTAATGTGAATCAGCAAATGTACACTGTTAATTTTTTTTCTACAAATTTTTCTCAGAGATAAAACTTCTATTGTGACTCTTTCTCCAAAAGTTTGCAGAGCACTCATTTGGAAAGATTTACTCTTTTCCATTCTTAATTATAGGCAGTACCCTCATATCTATTTCAGAATGACTGTAATGCGCAAGTTAAAGGCAGGGGAAGAAAGACAATCTCCTTCATCCATCTCTTTGGGACACACTGTACTCTTCATACATTATTTTTTGTATTATTTTTCATGTGTCACAGTCAATTTTTGAATTTTCATTAGTCATCATGACTTCCTTAAAACAAACAAAAGAGCTGTAGTTGATAATAAAAGCCAAACTAAAAAGCTTTACTGAAAAGCAGGGCATCAGAGACATGAAACAACACCATGACTTTCCTGTGAAATATTATTAGAAGTCTATCATGTTTTTCTGTTGTTTTCTCAACAAAAATATCTCACCATTTGCCAGCATAGATCATATCATTTTCTGAAAGAACTTTCATGATATGCTACAGATAAGAACATTCAAAGTGTTAAATGTAATATGGGGAAGGAACTTTCAAATTAGATATTTATGGGTACTTTTCTCAACCTCCATTTGTCCATCACTATTATTATTATTTTTAAAATTTCCCCATAATATGCCAGATAATTTTTTTTAACCTTGAGGCCTCCATACATCGTTCCCATACATCAATTAGTTTATTGAGAATATGTGTTAGGTCACTACCCCACATGTTACCATTACTAAATACAGAAATAACAAATAATCAAGAGAATAACAGATACACAAATGATTTCACAGCAATTAAAATGGTTTGTTACAAATACCAGTTATGCATATTCTATTACTTTAGTGGTTTATTAATTATGAAAGATGTGTTTGATTATATCTGCTAAGACAAAGTTTACACTCTATGTTATTTCTACTGAAAAGTTTTTGCAGTGAGAAACATACACACCTGCACATATATCTTATATTTGTGCACACTAGATATAAGATAAAGTGTATGCCTATTAACAAATGACTATAACTTTAAATCTACCTGTTTAATCAGTGAGCTTGCCACAAACTAAAAGTGAAGCCATTGTAAACAACATTTTTAATTATTTGTACTTACAACAGTCCTCTTCTTCTTCCCACCAAAGCATTTTGGAAAGTAGAAAATATATGTCAATGCAGCAATAAAAATCTTGGTAAAATTTCTCCTAACTTTATTACTCCAGTAGGTTTAGGGATGATGAGAAACCGATCAACTTCAGCAGCCTTTAAGAAGTAAAACTTTGGTTTTTCCTTTTTCTCTGAAGCTAATTGCCTCCAAGATCTGAGTCCTGTAAGGGGAAAGTGAGTGATCCCAACACTGAGTGAGTCAACATAGTAACTGATGCCAGGATTCTGTAGAGGCCCCTGGATATTTCAAATTCCAGGACCTGCGCAGAAGCAAGTGACCCGCCTTTTCTCTCAAGTTGGTTTCCCATAATAGGACTGTCCATGGCCACTACATATAAGGTTGTGCTTCCAGCATGGCAAGTCCTGTGAATTCAAATAATGTTCAACTGGATTCTGATGAAAATCCTATCCAGAATAGCCAAGTGGAAAGAATTCTTACTCTCAAAGCCTTCTAAACATAAAACCCCTTTAGTAAAAAACTGTAATAATACTTTCTGTAACTTCTATGCACATTTCTAAAGTAACAGAGCAAAAAAAATCCTCATCCAGAAAAGACTTTCAACTGTCTTTTTTTATTTTCCCCACTCAACTACACTAAATTAAATAAAGAATAATCTATGCATTCATATGTATCAGCTGTCTACCAAACTTACTTTCTACTCTGGGGATCCAATCAAAAGTGACGAATTGATGATGCCAAAAGCCTGAAAATAGAAGCAACAGAAGAATGTGGTAGCTGAGCTGTGGTGGTAGAATGTGTTTAGGTCTTTTGGGACAAGGTTCTTGCTAAAATAAAGAGCTCTCTCAAAATGCCACCAAAAATCCTCATAAATGATAAATTTCCATTTTAGTTTATGATAAATCTTTTTTTAGTAACAAATTACTGTTTCCTAAATTTCTTCAGTGACATTTATTAAAACACTATTCTCTTTAACATTGAGTTCTTGATAAATTATGTAATGGTTCTCAGTAGATGCTTTCTTTCTGTATAAAATGAGCACAATTGTAAATGTCATTCAGCATATTTGTAAACCATTCTTTGCCACTAGAAGCCTTCTCTATCTAATATCTTATTTTTATTTTTAATGCAGCAGGCAAGCCTAATATCTATAGACACATTGGTAACATATTTTATAAAATATTCCTTTTGCAATTATAATAATCTCTGCTAAAGTTATTTATTTGAATGGTTTTATAGTGCCATTTGTTAAAGTGACAGACTCATTTTTCTATGCCAAGCATTCAATTGGTTGGCATATAAATAAATTATACACCGAAATAGAAAAAAACTGACACATTTAGTCAAACTATTATATTTACCTTAATGGTGAATTATACATTCTACATTTTAGACTGTCATCATCAAACCACCATTTTTCCCCAAATCTATGTGAAATAAATACAAGACCTAATTTTAATTTTAGGTAACTGTATTTAAGTTATTGTTATCATAAATGAATGTAAAATGTCCTTTTTCATATGTTTTACCATTTGCTCCCCTTAGCATGGTTGTCTAAATATGCATATAAGCAATTATTTCATAAAACAAAATAAGAAAAATGTTTTAGGATTGACACGGATCCAAGCCTGAGTGCTAGCATCAGTGTTCTGTGCTGTGCGTACAATATCATCCAGAATCTGAGTTCCTTTAGTCCTTGTACTGTGAATAAAATATAAACCCACATTTACTCCAAAACATTTGTACAGTTTTATAAGTGATTTCCTTAAGATTTTTATAATTTAGGTGGTAAGACATGCTTAAGATATCTGGAATAAGTGAAAGGTACATAAAATAAAATTGAGCCCAAATGCATGAATTCTAATTCAGACCTTGTCACTGTTTTCCTGTGGTCATCAGTCACTTCTCACAACAATTACATTGGGAAGGTCTCAAGAGCCACATACTATAAAGATGACTGCTCAAGGAACTTGCCTGAGTTCTCATTGTAAATAACTGGCAGAGGAGAATTTTTAAATGTTTACCATTTTATTTTGAAACAATCATAGAGTCACAAAAAGTTGCAAAGAAAATGCTGAGGGGTCTCAATATTCTTCACCAAGTTTCCCCAACATTTATCATAACTATAACACAATATCAAAGCCAGGAATTTGACATTGCTACAATGTATTTCTGTCACTTTGTCATATGGTAGATTTGTGTAAGCAAAACTTTAATCACTACAGAGAAGAGCTGCATCTCCATAATGCCCTTTCTCACACCATCCATTTACAGTCACACCAAACACCCTCTTCTATCAGCACGGTACCTACAAATTTCTTAATTATTTTTTTTTTTCATTTCAAGAATGTTAGATAGAAAAACCAAGATGGCGGCATAGGGTAGACACCGGAATGCAGCCTACCACAACAAATTTGAATTTAGAACTGGAAAATAGGGGAAATATCGCCCCTGAGGCACTGGACGGCTGGCTAAGAGGAGGCTCTGACATCTGGGAAGGAGAAAGAAGGCACACTGAACCTCAGGAACTGTGAAGAGCGTGATGAGGAGCGGGAGCCGCTGCCGCAGCTGCTGCCACCGGGCACCAGCAAGGAGCCTGGCGATAGGGCCCCTGGGGGGGAGGTGCCACTGGGCCCATGACCGCTGACCGCAGGCCACATAGCCGAGGCCGGGAGCTGCTTTTTCTGTGGCACCAACCCCGGCAATGGGCTGAAGCTGTGCAGGAGGCCGTGGAGAACAGAGGGGCACTGCAGGCCAGCCTGCTGAGCTTCAAGGATGAGGAGGAAGAAACCAAAGAAGTTTTCAATGTGAAGAAGTCAAGTTATAGCAAAAAGATAGTAAAATTACTTAAGAAAGAATACAAAGAAGATCTTGAAAAATTGAAGATTAAGACAGAACTCAACTCATCGGTCAGCATTGTGGCATAGATGCATTAAAAAAAAAAAGACAGAATGTTGGAGCGGTGGCGGCCAGGCCCAGGGCGACCAGGCCCAGAGAAGCCAGACCTGGAGCAGCCAGGCCCGGAGCAGCAGTAGCCAGGCCCGGAACAGCAGCAGCCAGGCCCGGAGCAGCCAGGCCCAGGGCGGCCATGCCTGAAGCAGCTAGACCCGGAGAAGCTGGACCTGGAGCAACCAGGTCGGGAGCAGCCAGGTCAGGAGCATCCAGGCCTGGAACAGCAGCAGCCAGGCTGGGAGCAGTCGGGCCAGGAAAGGCCAGGCCCGGAGCAGCAGCAGCCAGGCCCGGAGTGGCAACAACCGGCCCAGAGAAGCCAGGCCTAGAGCAGCAGCAACTAGTCCCAGAGCAGCCAGGCCCAGAGCAGCCAGGCCCAGAGCAGCCAGGCTGGGAGCGGCCAGGCCCAGGGCTGCCGGGCCCGGAGCAACTGGGCCTGGAACAGCTCACTCCTAGACTGCCCATGCCCCAGGGCTGCTTCTCAGACATGGCTGGAAACTTTTGGGGGGACTTGAGGGTCTGCTGAATCAAGTGATGAAGGCTTAGATCTGGATGTGTTGAGTTGTTGTAGCGCTGGGGTGTTAATCTGTGCATGCTTTGTGTGGAGTCTGGATGAGGTTGGTTGATCTATTTGGATGTGTCTTTTGTTTGAAGTGTATCCTTGGGAATGTGGATGTATTATTGATTTGAAAAAAATGCTAAGTAATTGATTTGCTGCCTGAAAAATTTAAAGTTCTGATAGTTTAAGGTCTCTTGCCAAAAAGAGGTTTTAAAGCTAACACCTTAATTTTAATGGAGAAAGGGGAAGACATGCCCTTCCCACCCAGAACAGATAATCTAATTCCAGCCATCAGCTATCTTTAAACAATGTGTTCATTTACATTTGAATGGCTACTCCTTTTGATAGCCCAAGGGCAAGTTTACATCTAAACAAGTTGCTTTTTAGTTCCCAGGGCAGAAAAAACAAGGTTTAAAATTATTAGATTTTAAAATTTATTCTTAAAATATAAAAGTTTATTAATTAAAAAAAACAAGGAAATTAAAAAACCTGATGAACAATATTAGCTGTTGATTGTAGTAGAGTCAGAGACACAAGAGGGGAGTGGACTGACAGTTCTCAGGGAAAGGGGGAATGGTGGATGTGGGAAGAGACTGAACATAAACTGTGCACTTATGGATGAGGACAATGTGGGGTGGGGAAAGGGCAGAGGGTGGGGTGGGAACCTGGTGGAGGGGGAAAAATGAGGAACTTTTGTAATAATATGAACAATAAAGATTGATTTAAAAAATGATAGACAAATGGAATCATTCAGCATGTGGCCTTTTAAAAAATATATATTTTATTGATTTTACACAGAGAGTAACTGAGAGGGATAGAGAGTTAGAAACGTCGATGAGAGAGAAACATCAACCAGCTGCCTCTTGCACATCCCCCACTGGGGATGTGCCCACAACCAAGTTACATGCCCTTAACGGGAATTGAACCTGGGACCTTTCAGTCCACAGGCCAACGCTCTATTCACTGAGCCAAACCAGTTATGGCAGCATGTGGCCTTTTGAGATTAGCTTTCTTCACTTAGAATAATGCCCTAGAGATTCATTCAAGTTCTTACCGGTATCAATAGCCTATTTACTTTTATTGAAGTTTGGTTTCCAGTAGTTCACTTCTTTTATATGGAAATACAATAGATCTCTATATGTTGATCATGTATCTTAAGACATTACTGAAACTCATTATTTCTGCAGGTAATTTTGTAGAATTCTTGAGGTGTTTTACATAGCCCACCATAATATCTACACATAGGGGCAATTTTAATTCTTCCATCTGAGTTACATGTTTCATTTACTTTTCTTGCAAGTCTATGCTGGCTCTAACTTCAAGTACTATAAATAAAACAGGCATGAAAGCAAAGATATTTGCCTTGATCCTGTTATTAGGAAGAAAGTATTAACATCATTCACCATTATTATGACATTAGCTGTTAGATTTTTTTGTAGAAGTTTGAAGTTCTTTATCAAGTTGAAGTAGTCCACCCCCACTCCTTTTTTTTTTTTTTAAAGAGTTCTCTCTCT